GGGGGGGGGGGGAGGGGAACGGACAGACAAGACATACAGACAACCATCTTTCTGTCTTGCGCTGTGTTGCGTTGTGTTGTGTGGTGGGTGCAGGTGTGTCGCACAGGCTACCTGGCTCGCGAGGCCGCCCGCCAGATCTGGGAGGAGGGGGAGGACATAGCCACACCATCGGCGGCATCATCCCACCACCGACCCTCCACCGCCGCACACACCACAACTCGCCCGGTGCCACGTCTGCCATCATCGTCGTCTAGCCAGTCCATGTACGACCGCCTGGAGGAGACGGCTCGCGCACGCCGCGCCGAGGGGGACGCGGAGCGACTCTCGCCAGAGCACGTGCAGCAAGTCATGTCGGTAAGCAAACGAAACGACAGAGCAACGGCCAAGGAGAGGTCAGGTGGGGAGAGCTCATTGGTGGGCCGTGTGTGTCATGTGTGGGGGACTGACTGCAGGGCGATGTGGAGTTCCACGGGTTCCGCGAGTGCCCCGGGTGTGGCGTGGCAGTCGAGCGGGCGGGGGCATACGACGATATCACATGCAGGTGAGTCGGTGAGTCAGTCGGTGGGAGGGCGGGACGGTGAGAGGGAGGGAGGGTGGCTTGACCGACCAATGTGTGTGTGTGTGTGTGTTGTGGTCATGCAGGTGTGGCGTTCGGTTCTGCTACGCGTGCGGCGGTCGGCTGGGCACGATGGGCGTGTGGTCGCTGCTGCTCCACCGGTCCGTCTGCCGAAGAAACCCACACTTCTTCTGACACACACTGACTGACACACCACACACACACCATACACACACATCACACTGGAGCAACCCAACGAGTGCTGCTGTGTTGTTTTTGGCGTCTGGACTGCCTGCCTGCCTATCGTAGCGCTCTCTCTCTGTTGTGGCGGTGGGTGCTTGAGTGGGTGGATCGGCCGGCAGGTGGCCTTTTGTGAGGCAGGCACAGATGTCACACACGGACCGAACCGGCTCGTTTCGTTTCGTATATTTCTTCTCTCTTCTCTCGCTCATGTCGGTCGGCCAATGATCCGTGGCTGTGCTGTGCTGTGCTGTGCCAGCATGTGGGTTCTGACAAATGGTGCGGTGCACGCACACCGCTGTGACGATGTCAGCTCACAGTGTGGTGGACGTGCGCCGCAGCGTCGAGAGAAACGCGTGCTGGTCACACGTAACACGGACAGACAGACACCAGGCAGTATCGCATCGCACCACACACATGTACGGCCCTTTCTTCTTACTCCCTCATCTGCACGTGCTGCATGTCTTTCAGTCGACAGATTTCGTCAGTGGCCTTTTTCCAAACACCACGAGCAAACAGACAGACAGAGTGATCCCTCCCAGGTAGGTAGCCGCAGGGTAGCTGGCCGGTAAGTAGTGTAGGTGTCCCCTCCGTGCTCTAGTCCATGTGTCGTCCATCATCTCCACCTGCATCTCTCTCCCTCCCTCCCTCTCTCTCCCTCTCTCTCTCTGTGAGTCTATGCGTGTCGCCCCTCTCATCTCACCTGTCACCACCTGCTGCTGCACGCGTCTGTCTGTGGTGTGTGCGAGTGCCTGTTTCTGTTTTGGTCGGGGCTTTTTTCAACTGATCGAGATCGAGGTGCGGCTCGTGTGTCTGCGTGTCTGTGCATGTGGCAGTTTCTGCTGATTTCCGTCCGTGTCGTGGCCTGCCTCATAGTAAGAGTACTGCCGGCGTCCCTCACTTGTGACCGTGTTCGTGTATTTTTTGTCCCTTCTACCAGTACGCATTGCAATGCGTGACGCCCATATCGCAGTCACAGCCAGGTCGGTCTCGGTCGGTGGGCCATGATCTAGGTGACTTTATTCCTTTTTGCTGGAGAGAAGCCACTGAGTGCCCAGCAAGAGAGCCGGCTCGTCAGTCGTCTGCTGCCTGTAGTGTGTGAATGTGCCGGCGATGCTGGGTGTCGCGCTGGAGGTAGAGAGCGATCTTTGCCCTGCCTTGTGCTGCAGACAGGAGATACCTCTCTGCCGCCAGCCATGCACACGGCAATGCCGGCACAACGCAACACGCGCACACCTGAGAAAGGCTACACACAGGATGTCCGTCCACAGGATGCATGCACCCCTTTTGGTGTCCTTCTGTCTCGTGTCGCACTTGGAGCATTCTGCTTGCCTGAGGGCAGACAAGTGAGATACATTCCATCCACCGGATGGATGGATGGATGGACAGTGAGTGAGACGCTCAGCTGCGCAACTGTGAGTACGTGTGAGTATCTATCCTTTTTATCGCGCGCGGTAGGGAGAGACCGACCTGCCTGCCGACGCTGCGTCTGCATGGCATGGATGATGGACGCATTCTCCTATTGATTGATTTGTTTGTATGTGTATGTGTGTGTGTGTGTGTGTATGTACCTTCCTCCACCGACCAGCCACTCTATCTATTTGTCTATGTCTATGCCGCACCCACCCGCTCTGACTCTCTCTCTCTCCCCGTCTCTCCCTCTACCCACAGCATCCATCCCTACGTGTGTTCTCTCTCATGTGTTAGTTTGATCCGCATCTGGCTGGCGAGACCAACAGACAGACAAACAGGCGCTGAGTGACATTGTGTGGCATTCATTGTGTGGCAGAGAGAGACGGAGACAATGCCTGCCCATGGGTTTTTCACCTCTACAATGCCCTTTCACCTATACAATAGATAGATAGCTATCATGAATCATACGGTGGTGGTGATCTTCACCTGCCTGCCTGCCTGCCTGGCCGTTTCCCTGACGTCTCTGTGCGTGTGTGTGTGTGTGTGTGCGTGCGTGTGTCTACTATGCTTGAGAGCCGATCCGACAACCGGATCGCTCACACACAGACGGACAATCCGTGTATGTATGTGTCATTCATCAGAAGCCGTCCGTCGTCAAATATCCCTTGAGCCATACATAGGTCGATCGACACACACAAAACCCTACCGCAGTCCGTCGCACAAAGTCGAAAATGCATAGGGACCTACACCACACCGACCCGACCCGCACCAGACAGACCGGCATCTCTCCTTGCCGACCCTCACCGTCCGGCGCCTGGCCAACCAACAAGACTACCAGGCACCGCACTCACTGAGAGGTTGGCGGCCAAAAGAGATTGATTCATCAGACGCAGTATCTTACGACCACGCAGCAACTGCAGCGCATCAACGAGAAGGGGGAAAATTTTGCACTGGAGCGGAACCCAATGCCTCATATCATCCAACAGCCAAGCAGCGCGAGAAGTGTCGTCTCGCCACACACACACGATGTGAGCCCTACATCCGTGCAAACGGATTGCATCGAGCCTCCCTGTCCGACAAGTGGGACGGCACCGTCACAGCCACAGGGCCGGATGTGACAGCACCGTGCCTTCCGTCGGATAAAGAGACAACGACGCTTACCTGTGCAGCCAGCAATCATTCGGCAGATAGATAACACAGAAAAAGACCAAACCTAAGTCACGCCCTAGAAACGCTGCCAATCTATCTATCTGTCTGGCTAGAATTGTATCTCGACCTTTCCGAACCCGTCAAAGGACCCATCGGCCTTATCGCCCGCCGCCACCGGTGTCATGCCCGTGGTCGTGCCCGTGCTGATGACCTGACCACCATACAGACTCACGCCCCGGGGCGACAGAAAGTTGACCTGCCACACCAGACACCACCAAACCAACGGGATCCGTCCGGTCCATATCATTCATCATTCATTCGCTCACTCCAGGTCAGTCAAGTGATCTGATCACCCACCCACCTACCAGCCAGTGCAGCGCCGTCAGTGGGTTGCCCAGGACCTCAGCTGACGTGCCCGAAGCCACCGTCACGTTGTTGACCGACAGGGAGACTGGCACCGGCGTGTCGAATAAAGGAGTGGTGGGCGAGGGCGGGGAGGCCTCGCCCAACACGATCTCGCCACAACCGCCCTGACAAGATGCAACAGAGAGAATGAAATGAGCAGGGCAAGAAGGGCGTGCCATCCTTTTCTGTGAGAGTGAGGGGTTGCCGCTCGTCTACAGATATCGCTCACATAGTCAGCGATCACAAACGGCGCAGGTGTGGTCTTGAAGAGGGTCTGCTCGGGCACCCTGGGCCTCACCACCTCATACGCCGGGATAATGGCACCTGTCCAACGAACGAACAGAGAGAGGGAGATGCAGTCAGCCTGTGTCTGTCTGTGAGCCTCTGTGTGTGTGTGTGTGTGTGTTGCCTCACTCACCCACAGCGTCGGTCACTTGTTCCATGGAGTAGACGTCGCCCTGCTCGCCTCTGCTGGGCAAGTCGTGCTTGAGCTTGAGCACGAACTCGCACTCGATGCCCCGGACGTTGTCGCTGCTCGTCTTGGCCGGCGACTGCACCACACGGAACACGGCGCCACACCAGCATTCCGACAGGCCTGCCATGATCCGCCGGCCAAAAAGGATGAGGAGAGATTTATGTATGCCACTAGGTATGTCATGTCCATGCAGGCACGCAGACTCAGTCACTGACTGACCCAGTGCTTCTTGCTGTGCCTTTTTGCACCCTCCAATCTTCCATCCCAGGGGGTGATCGAGGCCCATCTTCTTGCATGTCTTGTCGATGACCAACCGCTGCACCTGGAAACCTACACACACAAACCAACGAAGGAAGCACACCTGCATCTCCTTCCTCCACTCTCTCCCCGCCGCGGCGGCCCGCCCACCTTCCTCAGCGTTTATCGGTCCCCATCCGCCGGCAGCATCGAGGTAGTCGTCATAGGCGGCGTTTGTGGTGCCCATGAAGGCATCCACCAACTTGTCGGCCATCCCGTCGGCTGCCTCTGGGATGGGCGGCATGGAAAGTGCCATGGTCAGATCTTGGTGAGAACGTAGAGGAGAATGCCGTCGGCTCAACTTCTGGTGCACGAACCCAGAAGGCTTCAAGGCGTGTCTTGCTTGCGTCTAAGCTCGCAGGCGACTCAAAGGGGAACGGGGAGGAGCGCTTGTATGGCGCTCAGCAGGACGCAGCACACTGTGAGGAAGACAGATCTTCCGATTTCGTGGACGTTTCATGATACAGCACTTGACCGTCGTGGAATGGAAGCACCTGAGACAACTTTGCGCGTCAACCAGCTGGATGCCGCCCGCCTCGACAGCGAGATCCTCTCCCTCCTCACATCCGGGTTCGCCAGTGCATTCAGACTCTTCCACGAGGGCGTGTTCGACAGATGGCGGCCTGAAGTGGATGCACTGCTCCGCCTGGTGGTCTGGCGGTACACGACACTCGCAGACAGGCCATCGCCCGGCGATTCCCTGCAGAACGTCAAGTACAGAGGGTGGCCGCATGAGCGTGCGGGCGATGGGCGGCATGTGGATGCCGGGATGCAGCGGCTGCCGGCGAGGCAGAAGTACGGCATTATGCTGCTGACGATTGTGCTACCGTGGGCGGTGGCTCGGCTCAAGAGGCTGATGGATGACGAGAGATGGGAGGACGGTGAGAGGCCTGGGGTTCAGCCTTATCGTGCGCTGAGGAGGGTGTTTACTGTGGTGGAGCGGGCGTATGAGGCGGCCACGTTGGTCAATCTGGTGGTTTTTCTGAAGGCCGGCGTCTACCGGTCGGTGGCCGACCGGCTGCTGCGGTTGCGGATGCACCACGTGGACCCCACCCTCCCGCGGCAGATATCCTTCGAGCTGATGGACCGACAGCTCTACTGGCACTCATTCACCGACCTCCTCCTGGTCGTCACGCCACTCGTCAACCTGAGGCGAGTGCGGCTAATGCTGAGGCGGTCGGCCGACCAGGCGACGGCATACGTGACCAAACACGCCAGGAGGGTGCCGCTGCTGGCCAGACACATCCCGAAGCTTCAAAGAGAGAGGCCTTCATCCGGTATGAGTGCTGCCTCTGTTGGTGCGTGTGGTATGTGCGGAGCGTCGCCCATGGTGTGTGCCCATCGGACGATGCCGTGCGGTCATATGTTCTGCTACTACTGCATCGCCATGGCAGTGAGAGAGGGTGGGCTGACTGGGGTGGAGGGACAGCAGCAGGGGGTGCTGCTGGGGAAGGGGAGAGGCGGCGGCATGACTGTGAGTAGCACTGATGGGTCTATAGCAGTGGGGTGTCCAGTGTGTGGTGAGCGTGTCGTGACACTGACGAGGTGTGGGCTGTGATTGATGTACATACATATAGTGAGGAGGTGCGAAGCGAAGGCCCGGTAAGGTCGCGTCGTCTGTGTTGTGTATTCACTGACCAATTTATGTCAGTCACCTTGCCCGATGGATTCACTCACTGATCCGTTTATAAAGCCAACCAACATCAGTACGTATGTATGTGAAGTTTCCTTGTAGGCCAGGCACGCCCCAGTCAGTACTCTAGCGCTAGTGATGGATATCATATCGAATGCTCACACAAATGAACAAGTGCGTATGCCTATACGTTTACGTACACATGAGCGGGACATTGCATTGCTCGCACAACTAAAGACAGTGTCTGAACCGATCAGGATCAGTAGGTCGACAACAGAGCACTCCCGCCGCCCCCGCCCCCGCCCCCGCCCCCGCCGCTGCTGGCAGCTGCCCCCTCACTGTCGCCCTCGCCCTGGCCGCCCTCTTGCGTCCTGTATTTGACGGCACTTGGCGTGTTGTACGCGCCGTGTTCCACCAGCAAGAACTGGGCCAGCTTGGCCAACGAGTTCACCTGTGGGGTGGGGTGGGGAAACAAACACGCATATGTATGACACAGTAGGGTGTGGTAGCATGCATCCATGTGTTGTTTGTAGGTATCCACACGCACCTTCTCTTTGGTGACTTGATTCAGCGTCTTCAAGGAGGCCTTCTCCTTCGCAGTCCGCGCAGCCACCTGCAGATCGTCCCACAGGATCCACACAAACATCCAGCATTTGTGTATCGGTGGCTGGGCGAGTGGAGGTGCATACCAACCATTTCCTGGCTCATGCCGGCATTGGCTACCGACAGGAAGTCGAAGCTCATCCCGGATGAGAGGCCTGGAGGGACGGGGGCCTCAAAAGGCCACACGGGGGGCATTCCGTAGATCCACAAGACCTGCACACACACACACACATAGTCAGCCTGTGTGTAGTGTGTCCATCTGTCGGCATGTATACGCTTTCCCTCGTCCGGTTCATGTGGAATTCGTTGGTGACGAAGACGAGGCTTCTCATGTCCATCGGCTCCGTGATCAGCCGACGGAGGGCGTAGATGTTGCCTGTGGATACACGCACACAAACAAACATCCATACGTGTGCAGGCGCCATTGATGCGGCATACATACCGATGGTGTCGAGGCTCCACCTCTCCATGAGTATGCGGTCTGTCGACACGCCATGCTCTGCCAGATACCTGCACGGACACACAGGGAGGCAGGCAGGCAGGCACAGCAAGTCCATCCACACACACACATGCACTTCATCTGTGGCTGCTGATGGATGGATGGATGGCATTGCCCCAACTTGCTAGCTCACTTTGCCCCTGCCGCCGCTTCATCGATGGGCACGCCTTCGCTGTCGAGTGGAGGCGCCTTGTGAGTCGTCCCCCTGCAGCGCAGAAACAAACGCACAGAGAACAACGCAATCGATGGATGAACATGCCTACACGCACACATACACACGCACACACACACTCACCGTGAGAGCAGGATGTAGTATTTGGTCTGTTTGTCCAGCGTCAGGGCCCTCTTCAGACGCTCCACTACCCACGGATGCGGAACCCTGCAATGCATTAATGACGAACGAACGGACAACAGACAGACAGACACATGTTGGTGAGTGAATGGATGGATGCGCATGTGGGCATATATGTGCATCTGGCCGTCATGCGCTGGAGATCTCCCTCCCTCTCACCCCTGCTGGTCCACCCCGCCGCCCGGAATGATGACTGCATCATACATGGGCGGCTCATCTTCGCTCTTTCTCTGCGTCTTGCTCATGCAGCAGCTCTGTGCCATTGTTCCTTCGGGAGATCAACAAACGGGACCATACTTCAACACCAGCGACGGTGCTTCAAGCTCGCAGATCGCTGCTGACACAAACCAAGCCAGCCGGCCAGCGCAGCGCGTGAATCTGTCCTGAATGGAGATGTTGAATGCAGTCAAGATGCACGCGAAAAGTGCGCTGCAGAATCCCATGAAGTACGTGCAGACCCTCTTCGTGATGGCAGGAGCTTACTGGGTGAGTCATTCAAGTACCTCGGTGCTCTTGTCTGTCCTATCTGTCCCCTTGAAGGCAGACAGGCAGACAGACAGAAAATCTCCTCAAACACTTTGCCGTGTGGCGATTGGTGTGCGTCCGTCCGGTGATGCAGGGCCTTCTGTTTCAGTGGATCATTGACACGCTCCCCATCGTAAGACGTGACAACACTGCAGCGGGGTGCACGCAGAGGAGACTGTCCGGTGTGTGTAGGCCATTGTGCAATGGATTGACCTCGCCACGCTGGTAGGTAGAGTGCGGGCACAAACAAACAGACAAACAGAGAGTCGTGCGGATGCACGTGCAGCAGCTGTGTCAGAGGGGTGTGTGTGTGTGTGTGTGTTTGTCATGTGTCTTCAGCTGCCTTCATGGGCGCTGCGCCTGGTTGCCGGCGAGTTTGCTGCGGCCGGTGAGTGGCTGAGCGCACGTCGACAGATGCCATGCGCGTGCGCGTACGGGTGTATGCACATATGGATGTGTGGATGTTTGTGATTGCTGCAGGCGTGCACAACTGCCAGCGGCCAACCAAGACAATCATCCTCTACGAGTGAGACAGAGAGGGAGAGTCCATCGACATGTACATCTGTCTGTCTGCCCGCCTGCCTGCCTGCCTGTCTCTGTGTGTACGTCAGGTTTGAGGTGATCTTGGCATGTTGGTGTTTTGTGTGAGGTCTGTGTGGTTTGTGTGTGGGATGGTCTGTGTGGGGTACAGTGGTGTCCCTACTGCAAGAAGGTCCGCGAAGCCCTCAGCACACTCGACCTGGACTACGTCTGCTACCCATGTACTGTACGCCCACAGGCCAACACACGCACACACATGTACACATTCATGCCTGTGTGTGTGCGGGCCATGTACGTGTGCAGGTCCGCGGACGACTTTCAAGGCCCGCAATGTGACGGAGGGGTCGAGATACTGCCCTGTGGCGCAGACGGCTGGCGGCAAGGCACAGTTCCCTCTACTGAGTGAGGAAAGGAAAGCGACATACATACATGATGTGTGGGTGAATGGATCTCGCGTGTGTGTGTAGTTGACGACAACACGGGCACCAAGATGTATGAGAGTGCGGCGATCGTGCAGTACCTTTGGGACACCTACGGCAAAGACGCGCAGAAGCCACTCACATACAAGGTAGCTAGCTAGGTTTGCTGCATACGTACACACATACAATTGTATGTGTGTACACATACATAAGTGTACACATACGCATCACATACACATACATACGTATGTATACGTATGCGTATATGTACGTGTACGTATACACAATGCCGTGCATCCATGGCCATGCATGTAGGTATGCCGTGCATCCATGGCCATGCATGTAGGTAGGTATGGACGCTGTGTGGCTTGTCTGTCTGTCTGTCTGTCTGACTGTCTGTCTGTATGTCAGATTGCGTCCTCGCCCTACTACGAGATGCCCTCCCTCATGATCAGCGGCATCTTCCGTGAGCACATACACATCTGCATGGACACACACACACACAGAGAGATACCCACGGCCGTGTGTTGTTGTATGCGCTTGGATGACAGGTCCTTTGTGGTACATGGGTATGCTCAAGGCACCCTCCACGCTCCCTGAGAAGGTGCATGGGTGACAGCAGAAACACGCGCCCATATTTTTACATGCATAAGGGCGTCCAATGTGTGTGCAGCACCTCGAGCTTTGGGGCATGGAGCCGTCCCCATTCGTCAAGCGCGTCCGGGAGGTCCTCTCCAGCCTGTAACCAAACAAACACAAGCAAACACACACACTGTTCCCAACCTGTATAAACACGTGTATGTGTGTGTGTGTGTGTGTCAAGTGAGCTGCCGTACCTGATGCACACGACGCCCGTCGGCAGCAGCAAGCGCGAGATATTCAAGAAGCTGTATGGCGACAAGGTAGCGACTCAACTCAAGGGGCCATCCGTCCCGTCCGTGTGTGCAATGCATTGACTGGCGTGTTCAGTTGCCGCAACTGCGGAAGAGTGCGGGTTTGATCAAGGTGCCCTTTTTGTACGATCCCAACACGGGTATGTATGCCTCCACTTGCCCACACACGCATGAGCACCTTCGTATCTATCTCTGCATACGTACGTATTCGTGGGATGTTTGTGTACTGATTGCAATGCAATGCAGGCAAGGAGATGTTTGAGAGTCTGGAGATCGTCAAGTACCTCATGGTGAGCCAGCCCAGCAAGCATCACACAAGACACGCGCATCCATCCATCCATCCATCTCACGATGTGTGCAGGAGACGTACAAGAGCGGCCCCGCGCCCACCGAGACCCTCTTCGACTACGTCAACTTCCTCAAAGCCGGTAGGTAGCTGCACATGTCATGTGTCGCAACAGACACACCACATGACGGGAGCCACCCGTGTAGTCCTACGGACTTGATGTCTGACATGTGTGTGTGTGTGTGTGTGTGTAGGCGACAAGAAGGCCGAGTGACTGCTGCAGCCGCACCAAGGACGTCAGTCAGGTCGTCGATTTTGACTCGTATCTTTCGTACGTACACACACCTGTGTGTGTGGATCGATGCGTGTGGCACGTGGGGCTTCAAGTTCTTTTCGACACTGACACAGTCTCGAATTAAGAGTTTTTCTGCCCTCCTGTCTGTCCCTTTTTCTATGTATCTTTGTATGTGTGTATGTGTGTATGTTTGTGTGTTTGTGTGTATGTGTGGAGATCCCTTTGTGTGTGTACGGCTGATGGCTGGCTGCATCCTTTCGATCTGGCTGCCTGTCTGTCTGTCTTAGCGTGTGTGACCTTCTGTGTGCATGCGGGGTTGCTTGGGGCGGTTGTCGGAAGCATCAGTTCAGCCATCGACGGGTGCATTGATGCTTCTGTCCACTCGAGCAACTCGACAGGCACACGGAGGGACGAACACCTCAGCCACATACTCGTATACTATTTTCTTGTGTGGGCGACCGAGGCGACCGACGAGAGGGGGACGGACATTTTATGGATCACGGAGCTAGCACACACGTAAGTTGACGCCGAATCCATCCGCGCCCAGCAGCGACAATTGTAAACACGCGTGACCCGCTGCGATCTCAAAGTTGCGATTGCTGGTGCGGGCGGTGAGGGAGAGGGAGTGAGGATGCAGCCGCCGTATTCGGTTTCGTCCAACGCGCCCTTCCCAGCCCATGCCGCATACGGACAATCCCAGGTACGCAGCACCGTGTTGTGTTGCCCTTCCATCCATCTGGACCATCCCTTTGATGGCACGGTGGGTTTGTATGGCAGGCCTCTCGCCCGCCAATGTATCCCGCTGCCGGCCGTCCGCTGCTCACGGCATCTCAGGGAGGCATCGCGGCCAACAAAGGTATGTCGGTGAAATGGTAGATGCCTGGATCTGGTGGTTTGGATGGATGGATGGATGTGTGTGTGTGGTGGTCAGCTGCTGAGGGCGGGCACGGATTGCCGCTGACGTTGTCGCACGGAGGTATGTACGCCAAAAACACCGCACACGACGCCAAAGTCGTTGGTTTCTGGATCTGATCTGTGTATCTTCGTTTTCTCTGATGGTTTCACCCAGCGACTCCCATCGCGACTACCGGAGCTCGCCGCTCTGGTCGGTACCTCCATCCAGCCCTTCATCCATCCACTATATCTTTCCATCTATGTGCACTGCAGGCACCGGTCCTCACCCCTCGTCGTACATGATGCACCCGATGCGTCCGGCCGCGGGCGCCATCAACATGCCCGGCGGTTTCATGCCCACCGCTGCAGCGCAAATCATGCAGGTACCTTAGTCACGTGGGTGGGCGTGGGTGTGGGTGTGAGTGGGTATATGGGCACACAGAGAGATGGAGGGGAGGGGTGGATACGTACTTACTGAACGTGTGCGGGTGTGGCGTTGCGTTGCGTTGCGTTTGTGTGTCTGCGCAGCCAACGCCGTTGTCGTACCAGCCGCAGCACATGCGCCTTCAGGGCACCACCGGCACCACTGCCGCAGTAGCAGCCACCAACATGCAGAGGGGCGCCATGATCATGCAGGTACCCAACCCCCCACACCCCCTAAATACACCCCACCCACAGACATTCTTGTGGATTCATCCATGTGTGTGTGTGTGTGTGTGTGTGTGTCTATGTGCAGGGTCCGCACACGGGAGTGAAGTTGATCACGGCTGAGGGTGGCGGGAGTGTGGGTGTCAGTGCGGGGGGACTCATAGGGGGATACGGCCAGGTGCGGACAGACAGAGGGACACACACACACACACACACACACACACCACACACACACAAGAAAGAGAGAGAGATCCGTTTGTGTGTGTCTGTGTCTGTGTAGGGTGTGGGTGGCGTTAGCGGCATCGGTGTGGCGGCGGCCAATAAGGGCGTGGGGGGGACTGCAGGCGGGACCAAACAGGTATGCATGCCTACGTCTGCATACACTGCACTGCACGTGTGGGTGCTCTTCGTCTGATTGATGTACCTGCCTCAGTATGACGGCAAGAAAGCTGCCAAGTTTGAGGAGATGGAGGACGACATCGGACAGATCGTTAGGTACATAACCACAACCACAACCACACACACGTGTTTACATACGTGTCCGTGTCTGTGTGGATGCTGGCTGCAGTGGTATGGAACGTTTGTCGGCCATCGAGATAGCCAAAGCCAAGGAACAGAAGGAGGCGCGGGAGGTGCGTACACATATTAACCACACCCATCATACCGCATAGCTCCACATCACATCCACCTTTCTGCCTGTCTGTCTGCCTGCGCGCAGGAGATAAATGCGTTGGTTGAGAAGCTCAAGGGCAAAGTGGGCGACATGAAGGTCGGAATCCGACACCACACCCCTGCACCATACACACACCCACACACCCAACACCCAGTCGTGTGGACGCATTCACGTCTGTCTGTGAGTGTGGTGGGTGTGTCTGTGTGTCTGTGTGTGCCATCTGCAGTTGGCGGCGGCGGCGGCCCCGCCGCCCTCCGTAGCCCAGCCCAACATCAGCATCACCAAACTATCAAACACCAGCGGTATACACACACACACACACACACATGGATGGATGGATGGATGTGTGCTGCAGGTCCGAAGCCTCCCTTCTACTGGGTGCCGAGTACCGACTACGTCGATGTATGTGTGTATCTACAGGCAGACACACAACACCCTCACACACACACGCACACACACACACACAAAAATACATATGCTTCTCTACAGGAGTTTGCGATTACGGGCGCCCACCACGAGGTAGTCACCAAAGTGCGCGACTTCGAGGACCAGGTGACCCCCCCC